CAAAAATGTTATATATGCCCCTTTTCTAGAATATATAAATTCAAATAACAAAAACAAAACAAACGCACACAAAAAACCAAAGGTTTAACTCCTCCTTGAACAACAATTCATATAAATATGCATTTTAACATTTCATATTTCTCAAACAGACTAACCTTTATCATTCTCTTAAATATATCCGTTAATATGTCATTTTTAACATCATCCTCCAGATTATTCCATAATCTTATTCCTTGGATTGAAGTACTCTGTTCCTTCAAACTGGTTTGAAATTTAGGTTTCACAAATACAGTATCTCTGTCCCCTTGAGATTGTAGCAACTCTCTCTTTTAACAAAATGCAATTGGCTGTTTTTATGAGTCCTATACATAACTGAAAAATACTATAATCAATCAAATCACAGAATTTCAAAAATTCGATTTAGCACGACATGTCCCCTTTAAAACACAAAATGCACACATTAAAATGACTGAAAACATGTAAAACGACTGTATTTAAGATCAGAATCTGTTCTGAATGCTCCTGAACGCCACTGAGTTAGACGTTTTTCGCTGATGCACGAGTCAATCTGACACGTTCACATCATTTTGAAGAGGCTGCTCTCATTAAATAACTCATGAAATGCCCCCAAACATCACTTAGGATTCAATAACGTCAATGTCAAATAATATTTCTGCCCGCAGATGAAGCTCCTCCTCTGGTAAACAAACTACAACAATGAAAAAACAAACAAAAACAACACAGGGAGCGATGATGTTTCAGTGACAGCCGAGCCGTTTTAAGGCATAAATCTGGAACAAATGAAAACTTTGTTAATCAGCATGTTGTCACTTCACCGTTTGATGGGACGGGAAGATCTTGGCGCTTCTCAGTGATTATGTGTGATAGCTTTAGGGGATTTTCCCGCTCATCAATGCCTCTTTCGCCCACATGCACACATCCTCAACACCGGCGGCTGTTTTTTTTAATGTTTTTTATTACAGATGCTCATTAAAACCCAACCTCTCCTCAGCTGTCACTTTCCCTCCTCATTGCTGCCGTTTTTTTCAGTCAAGTTAATCGTCTTCTGATTTGTTTCTCCCTTTCCGTTTTAATTTCAGAGCCTGGCAGGGTTTACAGTACAGTCCGAAAATAATTCTGTCCTAAAAACAACACAGGCTGCAGCAGTTCTCCTTACAGGAAGTGAACATTTAAACAATCAAATGGAATTTAGCGAGACTCAGTATGTTATGGAATGAATTTTCTTTAAGGTTTTTTTGCTTTAAGT